TCTTATCAGAGGAAAATTACTCATATGCCCTAAGATATTATGTCTTATTGGAAACTAACATCTAGCAATTAAGTAGTTAGGGAACTAATTAATTGTTAGTAACTAAATAACGAAAATAGCTATTAGAAAACTTTTTAATGATGAACAATAACTTGCACTTACAAGATGGTGCCAACTGATGTATCAATTATTTGTTCACTGTCAGAAATTGATACACCAAATAGCAATTTGTTTGGATGTTTTGTACTCTTAAAAATTTTTCATAGTTGCCTTGTGATTGTACTTGCAATATTTGTTCTTCATGCTAAAGTATGCAAGTGAATTTTATGATTTCCTCTTGTAGTGTGATAGGGCTATAGTTTCTGCACCTATGCTTCACCTTCAACTTGCAAAATCTATACAAAATCACTATTTTTCTGCCCCAAATTTTGCTACTTGAAGTGAAAATGAGATCCATGTTAATGTTTCTTGTTGCCTTTATATGCAAAATGGTAAAGACCCAAAAAAAATAGCCTTTATAATCCAATGCACTAATCATTGATTTAACTTTGTAGAGAAAGTTGGTTGCTACTTATTTTTGTTTCTTTGTTAATTGCATTTACCTTCCTTCACTTTTATTAATATATTTTTTATTCCTTTACAATACAACTTGTACACAAACATAAAGGGCATTTGTGGAATAAGACTTTTACCTCTCTTTTCAAAGTACTTTTTTAATGACATTTTTTCTGATTTGGACTGATTTTGTTATCAAAATCTTAACTTCATGGGGGCTTAGTGTAATTTTACAAACCTCAAGTGTGGTCAGTGAAGTTGTCAGAAACCTCAAGGGAGGATTTTGAAATTATCCCTTGATAATATGATTAAAAAAGGGTTATTATCACTTTACTCCCTTAACATTTAGTGCCACTATTAATTTCCCCCTTAACGTTATTTTTTAATCACTTTACCCCCAAAACTAACGGTCAAACTTAACAGAATTTGTTAATTAAAGTAAAAAGATAAGTTTAACTCTAAAAGTTATTATCACTTTACCTTCATAAACTATAATCTCATTATCAATTTATCCCATAGAGTTATTTTTTAGACAATTTATCCCACCATTAAACCAACTTACCAAGTTAAAAAACTTTAGACATAATACCCTCCTCTTTGTATAATAAAAACAATACAAAATTTAAAGTGGCTCTTTTCATCTTTAGTATAAAAAAAATCAAAGTATTAATCTTTTTTTTCTTGACAATCTTATTAATATTAAAACAAATAGAAAGATTGGGAGGGGGAGGGAGAGTGGGAGAGAGAGAGAAAGCTCAATTCTTTTTTTTTTTAAATACAAATAAGAAAGAATTAAATAATTTTATTATTAAGTACTTTGATTATTTTAAAATTATTTTACTTTACTGTTTACCACCACATTTTAATCCTATTCCCAACAACCTTAAATTAATACGATAATGTTAGATTTTTCTTTATAATTTTTTTTTACAAAATCTAATTTTCTGTCTCCTTCTTTCCTATCTCTTTTTCTTTTTCTAGTATTAATAAGTCTGAAAAAAGAAATCTGAGAAAATTCTTTTATTTTTATAGTTTTGGATCTCTTAAAGTGAAAAAAAGAAGAATAATCATTTTAACTTTTTTATTTTTAATTATATATATAAAAGGGTGAATATATTTAAAAAATTTTTACCATACTAATTAGATTAACGATGAAGTAAAATACCTAGAAAATAATGTTAGGAATTAAAGTGATTATATCACTATAATTTAAAAAGAATAAAGTAATAATAACAATATAGTAATGCTATAGAATAAAAAGGTATTTTTGTCCAAAATTTTTTAACATGTTGAGTTGAATTACTTATGGGATGAACTGATTAAAAGATAATATTAGGGAGTAAACTGACAGTAGTAATATAGTTGAAGGGGATAAAATGATAATAACCCTAAAAAAAAATAACATTGGCTATGCTCCCAAGGGAATATTTGCAGTTGCATCTTTCTCCAATTCAATTTTATACGCTGCTACCTCAGGACAGGGAAACAGATGATGGAGACTTTGGCTTTAGCGTTGGGAGGAGCCATCCCCAGCTCTCGTGTTGCATGCTTCCTACCTTCTTCTTCTTCTTCTTCGGTCAGCTCATTAACGGCTAGAAATTCAGTCAGTTTATCCTACTCAGCCTCCAATCTCACCATCCACCGGCATCTAGCAGCATTTCAGCCACCATCCCATCTATTCTCATGCCCCAAATCTTCTCCCCATGCCCCCAAAAACTCACGCAAAACCCACGTTTTCCTTCCTCACTTAGTTGCTTCCCTGGTACTACAATTATTTGAAGTTTTCTGTATACCTTTAAGACAAGAAGTATTTCGAGTAATATGGGGATCCCAGTTGAGAAATTTTTACAATTTTTACCTTGATTTTGGGTGCAGGAAGTCGAGCACACTTATATTATGGTTAAGCCAGATGGTGTTCAACGTGGTCTTGTAAGCTTCTTGTTGTATCTTTCATTATAAAGTTTAGTTCTTGATTATTAGTTTTATCACGATCTTTTGATTTGGGAAATTTTGGGCTGAATTTAGGTTGGGGAGATAATTTCAAGATTTGAGAAAAAAGGGTTTAAGCTAACAGGGTTGAAGCTATTTCACTGCCCCAAGGAATTGGCTGAGGTTTGCTTTCTGAAGCTTTGCATGTGTCAAGAAAGGCCGACTTAGGATCTGCCCTTTTGGTTTGACTTTTGAATTTTCTCCTTTTTGCCCTTTTTGGGCAGCAGCCTGTAACAAATGAAGTGTAATTGGCCTAATCTGAGACCAATTTTGATAGTAGATTCCAGCTTGAGTGTTCTTCGGATTTTAATTTTAAAACTAAGCAGTTTGTGTTCTTTGTTTTATGAACTTTTATGATGATATAGGAGCATTATAAGGAGCTGCAGTCGAAGCCATTCTTCCCCAAATTAATCAATTACATTACTTCTGGTCCTGTTGTTTGTATGGTATGTCCTTGTTTTAGCCTTCATCCTCTTAAGCAACTTGTTAAATTTGAAGATAAATAAATCTAGAAATCATGGGGTTCTATGAACATCTTTAAAAAATGTTATATTGTTGGCTAGGCATGGGAGGGTGTTGGTGTGGTTGCATCTGCTCGTAAACTGATAGGAGCTACAAATCCTCTTCAAGCTGAACCAGGCACAATCAGAGGGGATCTGGCTGTACAAACAGGAAGGTTGGGTCCTAGTTTTTTCTATGTTTAATCTGATAAGCTTGGAACTTGATGTCGAATAGATATGGACTCTTTTTTTTTTTTTGCTCTCTAAGCAGCAATCTAAAATGCTAATATTTGGCGATCTTTGTGGACAGGAATGTGGTTCATGGTAGTGATAGCCCTGAGAATGGCAAGCGTGAAATAGGTAACGCACTGCAGTTTTGATGCATTGATATGATTTGATTAGATGATTCTGATATTTCTTACATAATTGATCATTTGATTAAAGGAAATTCGTTAAAGTTGGATATAGGATAAAGTAAATTTGTATGAGTTTGATAATTTGGATAAATCAAAGTCCTCCAAGGATGCTATTCTCTATACGGCTTGAAGTTGGTCTTATGTGTTTGTACTTCCTATTTGAATTTCAATTTATGGAAATCTTGACATTTATCATCTCATTTTAATAATCTATTTTGGTGCAAGTGTGATGTCAGTATGTCTTTGTGCATGTACATTCACATGGCTAGCCCATTTCATGTCAGAGAACCTTAATACATCACAATGAATAGGCTGCTCTAGGATATCCCATCCCTCATTCTCCAATGTTGTTTGCAAATGCATTACTCTTGATAGAAACTGCTAGCATTTTGCATCTGACAAATGTGTGTCTGACAAGTTCAGAAATGTATAGGTTAGAGAGTAGACTAGTTTAAGTTGTCTCATATGGATGCATGGTAAGCAGAATGGTGATTTCTGGTAATGAAATTGTAACGATGGACATAGGATGAATGATTTGCTGTTTGAGCTCTATATTTTTTTCATCTGAAATGGTTCTTGCCTTAAAAAGAAGTCCCTATACTAATATGGACCAACTTGAAGAACATAACTTGTGTTCGGTAGTGATTCCCTCACTATTCATCCTGTTTGTCCCTCCTGCAGGTCTGTGGTTCAAAGAAGGCGAAATATGTGAATGGACACCAGTTCAAGAACCATGGGTGGTTGAATGATATTTAGTCACGTTGTCACGAGTTATTTTTGTTTTGGGAGGTTACTCCAACAGGCAACAGCCACCTCTTGAAGGCAGATTAATTGAGTTTTCTACCTCTATTGTTGTAGCGATTCCATGCATGATTTTACATATTAACTCCACATATTTTTATGTATCAGTGAAATGAGAACAGAAAGAAATAAAAAGATACCTTTCTTTCTATCAAGTTTTGCAGTATTGCTTCAATTCCTTTTAGATAGAATTTTGCAGGGTCCTCCTATGAAAATGGTAACCCTCAACAAAGCCCAAAAGATGAACATTTGGTCTGTATAGACTGTAGAGGCATGCAAGCAGAGCACCTACCGCGAGATCTGTATACCATGTATGCAGAATATAGCCTGCAAACTCCATCGTACATGCAAGTTCATTCTGCACTGTGTTCGTAATGCCTGACAAGTTTTTTTTTTTTTTGCCAGTCAAGGATTTAAGATAAAAGCCGAATACTGCAAATCTGTCCAGCGTAGATAAATATTTCCTTGTGATGATACTCAATTAATTACATTGTTCCCAGAATAGTTTGCTCTTTTTGCTCGATACAATGTAACCACTAAGTTCAATACAAATTATTGCTGGTGTCATCCAAAGGCTTAGGTGGCCAAGGTTATTCTTGGTCGGAGCTCGGAAAGAAGGATATATACGATGCCTTTGATGATTGTATGGACATATAGTATGAACAATCACTGCATAACTGTATTGCTCCTTGCACGCTTGTACCTGCTGCTCAGGGCAAAAGTAATGCTCAAAGAGAGACATTCAGTAATTTATTAAGCCAAATTAAAAAGCTATAAGCTATAATTGGTACAAATAGTTCATCGCGAATTACATGTCTAAATCTAGGGAGTAAATGCTATTATTAGTTTATAGATTTAAGACACGGTCAAGTACAAGAAATGAAGTTGTCACACCAAAGAGAAAAGAGAAATAAATCAAATAATCACGGTATTCTGCCTGGATATCCATTAGGTGAAATACATACGACAGGTAATATGACATACAACAAGAATAATCTTCATTTCAGCAGTTACAAAGGGCTGCTCGCATCTCAGATATCCTCTTTAGCCTGTTTAAGCATTTTACAGCTCTTTCTCAGGATAAGTGCAGCTGGCCAAAAGCCAAATGGCGAATCTTATGGTTCAAACTCTTGAGAGCATCATTCTCCAGAAGTCTTGCTGAAATCCTTGATGCAACAACTTAAAGTCATTTGTTTAAAAAATAGGAACTACATTATTTATCACCTGCCAATGAAAGTAATACAACATTGTAAAATTAGGTTGCAGTTATGTTTTATTCTTTCTTGCTATTGAATCATCCCAGAATGAAAGCATTCCTCTGGCAAGTGCTGTCTGTGGCTGCTCGTGAACTGAGAAATGCTGTCAGTGGAAGAAGCACAAGCAGAAGAGCATACGTTCTCTAATGTCATGGCATCCTCTTCCGATGAGTTAGGAGCATTTTTAGGACTCTTATATTTAGAAAACAGGAAAAGAACGGACAAATTTTTGGCCCTTCGTGTCGTTGAGCCCCTAGGTATATGTTGATCTGCATTGGACAGAGGAGATAAATCAGTGGAAGAACAATCATCACCAATTGTTGCAGGAGGATCACTTGCTGTGCTGCAACTGACATCCAGGCAAGAGGGTTCGGCTGGGGGCAGGCTTTGACAACGTAGAGAGCCTTCTCTGAGCTTCATAAGAGTGCTCTCTGAAATAAAGGGAAACCAAGAAGTCGAATCGTCGTCCATCATTTATCATTGTGATACATTAATGCTATTCTGCAGAGAAAATTATCATACATATATCCTATGAAAAAGAAAAAAGGGGAAAAAATAGGAAAAAAAAATCTGTCAAACTGTAGTCTCATTCATGCCCTATAGTAGTCACTAGTCATTTTAGCTTCAATTCTTTCTATCTGCCCAGAACTTTCTCTTTATTTCTTTTTCATTCTGGATAACTGCCGATTCTAAACAAGGGTTCTCTTTTTAGTGTGAAAATTATGCCTAACGCCTCTCCAGTCTTCATTCTACCACAAGCAAATGGAACTTAAGGACAGCCCTCTTCATAACAACGTTCAATATACGAAGAAACAGATCAACTGCACAAGGTTATGATTTGTACAGTTTGCACATCTAATTGTACCTTACTACGATTAAAAGTAAAGCGATCAAAAAATTAAAACTTGTTTACCATTTTCCTATCCCAGCATACCATTCCTACTTAATTCAGCAGACCCATAAAAAGACTTAAAAAATATCCCCCCCCCCCCCCCGCCCAAAAAAAAAAAAAACCTCATTCATCAAATCAGATCCTAAAAGCGTCTCAAAGAATCATCCTAATTCCTCATAACAATTAGACATTAAACCATTTAATAGCAGAAAATTTAAAAAAAAAGAATCAAGCAATCGAATGGTTGCAGTAATATAAGAAACATAATTAAAGAAAGAAACAAAGAAGGAGGAGGAGAAAGTGGGATATTTACCATAGATGGAGAGAGGGTCGTCTTTGATCAATTTGGGAGATGGCCTTTCCTCCATCTCTAATAGTTCCAGAGAGCTAATTGAAGCTCTTCTAATTCTCCCCAACATCTCTGATTTCTTCTGCCCCAAACCCTCCCCCCTCTCTCTCTCCTCTCTCCTCCCTCCTCCCTCCTCCCTCCTCCCGGTCTATTTTTTCTTTTGATTTTATTTTGACTTTTTTGGCGCGGAAGATGATAGCTAATCAGGGCGGGAAGATAATTGGGCTTGGGTTGGGTTGGGCTGAGCTATTCAAGTCCACTTGAGTTTTTTTTTTTAATTGGGTTAGACGTTAATAGTTCTGTTTGGATTGAGATTTTTTTATCACAAAGAAAAAAAAAACAAATTTGAATCCAATCAATTCGAACACCTTAAGTGTTCAAACTTGTTTAATTATTTTAATGAGTATAAAATTTTGTTCAAACTTCTTATTTATTTGTCAAACCAAATTTAAATGAACTTTTTTTTTTTCAAATTTGAAAGTTATCAAATATAAAATGTTGTTCAATTTTGGCTTGATCAGTTTGTGAATCAAACTCGAATGAATTATTACCTAACCAAATTTGATTCGAGTATCGAATATGTTGATTCATCTTCCAGCGCAAAATGTAAACGGATAAAAAAAAGAAAAGAAAAGAAAAGTCAATGCTACATCAATAAAGAGCATCAAAAAATTGAGAACACTGTAACGTGATGACAGCTGAAATCTTTTGTTAGATCAATCAAATCTTCAACCAATAAATACAACGATTCAAGCAAACAACAATAGACCTTTATTCAAAGAGCATACGTAAAAAGCTACGCATGGGAGTAGTTTAGGTGTCGATTTCGGGCTTACTATACCACAACGCCCAATATCTATATGCCTGTCTTGGTAAAACGAGGAGTAAGTACAAAACTCAGAGGAAATTCAAAAATGAAAAAGTATTAAACTCAGGGGAATGATTATGTGTAGATGCTTGTGGACTATCTCCTTAAAACCTTTCAAACATGCAAAGCAATAAAAAAAAAAAATCTATTTTAGAAAGACATGAAAAATGCTTTTAATCAAGATTGATCTGCTAATTGAGAATATTTGTTTTATTCATTCTTTTCGTGAAAACATGTACTGTGTATTGGTATATGTATGTATGTATGGTTCTCTTCTCAAATTGTAATCATTTTAAAGATGACAAATGTTTAAACACTAATTGTATATGGTAGGCATTTTTTATAATAAGTAGGAGATTTTGAACGCATGAACTTCTACTTACAATTCCTCCAATCATACCATCCAATCTAACCCTCTCTCCCCTCCTCACACCTTTTTTACCCGCAATTGTCAGGTTCAGAATTCGAATTGTAAACCTAATAGCAAATTTTGCTTTAATAAACAACTCTATCCATCCTTGTTCAAAATGCAGTGTTCAATTAACGATTGGTAATTAATGCAATCCATAATATTGCAAAATTTGCTCAAGTGGCTATTTGTTGCTCTGACAATATTGCCATTTGGGGGGGGGTGGAAGTATGATATTGTACTACAATCATTTTGCTGTTTTTCACATTTACAAACAAACTTAACAAGCCTTTGAGTCCTAAATCTCCTAATCTACACTTTTGGGTAAATAGGCTTCCCTATCATGTAGGCAAAGCCGCATAGCCTGCTTCTTGAAGTCAATCAGAATTTGGGGTATTTTTGGCCTCAAGTAATTGTCTACTTCAACAAAAGAATCCCAATCTGATAGGAATCACCTGTATCTGAGGATTGCAAATCTGATTACCACTAAAGGATGAATTTCTGCTAATTTTTTATTATTATTATCACTTGGAGTAAATCTGAAGGTGACAACCACTAGATTTCTACTTTCGACAGAGGTGATGAAACTAGGCAATTTTTTTCAATCAATCTCAGATTAATGTCAGGCTTAGTACCAGAGATACTTAATTTAATTTTATTGACTTTTTCAGATTTGTGAGCGAGTTTGGTGATGGTATAAGGATAATGACAAATAATATAGCACAAAGATTAACAAGGTCTCCTCCGACATGTCACGTTTGCATGTTGAAACCTATGATTCATTTCTTGCATGAAAAGATGTTCTACTTGCCTCCCGTGAATCATTAGGTTTTTAATTAGATGTTTTATGGATGAGCTAATTTATTGCATTTGTTGTCATGATAAGTTTGGTAAACCACCAGAAAATTTACAAACATCTTTCTCTATCACATTATATCAGTAATCAGGGTGCAAATTTAGAACTAGGACAGCATACTTCTAGTTAATTACCTTCCTAAATAGGCTTTTGAAATGGAAATGAATATCTAGCTATGAAAACAAACTCAACAAATAAATATATGAGGAAATGAAGGTCCTGCTTCAATTGCTGTTGTTAGCAGAAAAATTTTATTGTGACAATTCGAAAATGTATACGTGAAATAAAAACGTGATTAAATAAAACATTAAAAATTTTGTTGTATTCCCTGAATTATAATCTTCGTAATGGCAATGGAGAAATGCCTAACCGAGATTCTACATCAATTATTATTTTTTTTTCCTTTTTCACGTGGATTCAGATGAGATTTTGTCTGCCCCAAGGACTATAAAACTGTGTTCATCTTTTTGGATTGCATATCTTGCATCTTTAGTCAATGCACAGAAAGAGATATGTATGGTACTATTGGTCGTTGCACATTATACAATTGAGTGCTCGGAATATGGCCTAAGCAATTCTGACCAAGTCAATAGGTTCTACATGAAAAACTAAACAATTTATTCCCACTTCTAAATTGCTTAATTTATACCTGGATGATATATTGAAGTACCAAATCTTTTATCACTCATGAGTCATGAAGCATGCTAGAGTACTTAGGCAATGTTAAATTGATTCGATCAGCAAATAAATTGACGTTCCGTTTCTAGTATTTAAGTTTAATAGTTATATACTATGAGTGGAGTTTGCCCAATGTTCAGAAGAGAGGTGGCTTAGAATCGCATTTTTGTCAAGTGTAGGATTGAAATCTTGAACTTGATAATTAAGAGCGAGAAAACTTAAAAAATAAAAAGTTTACACTCAACTGAAATGTCTCTATACACTAATTCATCTTCTTGATTGCAATACCTTATTTTTTGAGTAAAGGTACATTTATCGGAATATATTTGAAAAATTTTCTATTAAACAGTGTTTGCCTATTCAATGTGTGTTTAAGTAGAGTACACGTGTGTTTGTGTTCTTCTATTCCGCATCCAATCGGCACGGAATAAAAGATGAAACTTATATATTTCTATGTGAAAAATATTTAAATTTATGATGGGAATGTGAAGATCAAAGTTTTATGGTGAGTCCATCATCTTGTTTTTTTATGTGCTTATTCTATACCCTTAAGGTACCGAGAATAGGAAAACCTAGGTTCTATTAACATCTTACGTTTTAAATCTATCGTATCCATTACTAATTAAGGATTATATAAAATGATAGTGTATATATTATCAGTATTTAATAAATGAAAACAATATAAATTAAAATTAAAATTTTAAATTTTAGATATATAACATGTATATATATGATTTTCTCTACTATCAAACTCTTGTTTTCTATATTATCATGAATGGTTGGTGCACAAGATCCAAGACCAATATAATTAGTCTTGGACTCGTACATTGCACTCAAATCAACCTACAACTTCCACAATGAAGATTAACATAGTAACCACACAGCTCATCAAGCCATCTTCTCCAACCCCAGCTGAGCGTAGAGATTACAAACTCTCCTTCATAGAATGCCAAATACCACATTTTTACATACCTCTCATTCTCTACTATTCTGCACAGAAAACCAGCAACGTCAAACAATCTCAAATCTTCAAATGGCTGAAGACATCTTTATCAGAAACTCTAACTCACTACTACCCTATGGCTGGAAGAATCAAGGGCCAGACCTTGATTGATTGCAACGATCAAGGGATCCTATACGCTGAAGCTGAAGTCGATGGTCATCTTTCAGACCACCTTAAAAATCCGGAAATCCAAATTCTTGATCATCTCAGCCCTTGCAAGTCGAGTGGCAGAATAACGGATGAAAGAGAATTGTTAGCCATTCAAGTTAACTTCTTCAAATGTGGAGGATTAGCCATTGGTATATGCCACTCGCACAGGATTGCAGATGGATGGAGCATTTGCTCTTTTATCAAAGCTTGGGCTGCCACGGCCGCGAAAGCTTGGGGTTTAAGCAATAATATGGTATTAGAGCCTGTCTTTAACTCTGCACCTCTTTTTCCTTTAAGAAAAACTCCTGATTTTGAGCCTGATCCAGAAACTCCACCGCTTCAAACTCCAGTCGAAAAGTTTGTAACAAAAAGGTTTGTTTTCGATGCCCCGGTGATCGAATTACTTAAATCAAAAGCCATGGCTCGTTGGCCCGGGGCAAAACCAACAAGAGTCCAGGTTGTATCAGCATATATATGGATGTCTTGCATGGCTGCAAATGCGGTGGAAGAAAATGGCACATCTGTTATATCCCATCCAGTGAATTTGAGGAAAAGAATGATCCCACCACTGCCGGATACTTCTTTCGGTAATATCTTCCAAATGGCGCATGCTGTAACAAGTGGTGCAGCCGCTAAAGATTGGATTGGGTTGGTGGAGAAAATCAGGGAAGCATTTGGAAAAATAAACCAAAGTTATGGTAAAAAACTACTAGGTGAAAATGGATGTGAAGTTGCAGAGAATAACTTCAATGAGGTTGGAAGATTTTTGGTTCGGAAAGATGTGCACGGTGTTAGGTTCAGCAGCTGGTGTGGATTTCCAATTTTTGAGGCCGATTTTGGATGGGGAAATCCCATTTGGGTGAGTAGTACAAGTTTTTCTTGTAAAAATCATGTCTTCCTCTTCGATTCAAGATCTCCTGGTGGCATCGAAGCCTGGATAGTAATGGCTGAAAAGGAAGTGGCCAAATTTGAGCAGGAAGTGGACCTATTGACTGTGAATTGATTAGTTTATTCAGGAACTTGTTTCACATGTGTTAATTTCAGTAGTGGATTTTCTTCAAGCTACGTGGAAAGCCGTGGTTCATGGACTTCTTGAACTTGCTTTGCACTGTATTTGTACATTTTACCTGAATGCAAGGAATAGAATATTCTGCATTTTCATTGAAGCTGGGGATTTGGGGAGAAAAATGTTAAAGCTTTAAGCAACATTGTAAAATATACATAATATTCATCCTACATAATATACCAATGTTGTACCCGTTAGTTCTTTTTATTTTTACTTTTTCTAATAACACGTGATATTTAAGATGGTAAGACTCTTTTAATCTGGTTAAAAGGTAGAGTATCATTAACATTAGTCACGTCCGAGTATAAGTAAAGAAGTGATATAAATGAGACCCTCTATTATGGACCTAGTGCATCTGTCGCTGTTTCGCAAACTTTAGTTAGACAACTTAGATGGTGCATAGATGCATCTAGTTTATGACATAAAAAAATTGACATAAATGAGCAATATTTTCTGTATGGAGTTGTGGTGCGTTTTAAAAAAAAATCTTTTAAGTACTAAAAGCTCTTCTAAGGTGTTTGGTAACTAATTTACTGTGACTTAAGAAATCCAAATTTTGCTAACCTAAAAATACTCTGTTAAAAACACTTTTATGAGAAATAATTTTTTATAAAGTATCGCAACCCTAAATGAAGCCTTTGTAAGGTGAGAGTGACATTAAGAATTTCATAAATATGTTATAATGACCGAGAAAAATAATAAGACAAGCAAAAAACTAGTCTTTATTTCTTTGTAAAACTAATGCTTAACTCATATCATGAAATTGCTCATTTATAGAGTTCAAAACAACTCCACTTACTATCTCACTAACTCCATTAGTTACTCCACTAATTCCACTAGTTACTCCACTAACTCCTCTAATTCCATTAACTGCACTAATTAGATAGAACAAAATAAACAAACATGGTCAAACTAACAATAATAAATATTTTTAACAATCTCTTCATTAAATTGAAAGTTTTCCAAACATTCAGTTTAATAGAACTTATCAACTGCATAGACTCCAAACAGCTTCCTTAATTTTTGAAATGTGAATAACTTCAATGGTTTGGTCATTATGTCAGCAATCTGATCTTCACTTTTGCAGTAGAGAAAATCAATTATTCCATCTCTTGTGAACTCCCTTAGAAAGTGAAATCTCACGTCTATGTGCTTGGTTCTTCCATGTAGAACTGAATTTTTAGAGAGTTTGATGGTAGAATTATTATCACAGTAAATTGTAGTAGGCGCTTCTTGCTGAAAATGCAATTCTTCAAGAATATTTCTTAGCCAAATTGCTTGACAGGCACAGGCCGTTACAACTACAAATTCTGCTTCAGTTGTTGATAAAATAACAATTGGTTATTTTTTTGAACATTATGAAATAGTTGCTGAACACAACATGAATATGTAGTCAGACGTACTCTTCCTATCATCAAGATCGCCTGCATAGTCACTGTCAGAAAATTCAAATAAATCTGATTTTTCACCATTCTTGTAGAACAACTCATATTCAATGGTTTCCTGCAAGTATTGAAGAATTCTCTTGGCAACTAGAAGATGCATCTCCATTGGGCTTTCTATGTATCTATTAATAAGACTTACTGCATTAATAATATTAGGCCTTGCAACTGTCAAATATATGATACTTCCCACAACTTGCTTGTAAATAGTACTATCAACCCTATTTTCTTCAGGTTCTTTGATGAGTTTTAAACCCACTTCAACTAGTGTACTAACAGAATTACAATTCTTTATTTGAAATCTATTCAGAATTTCTTGTACATATTTTTTTTGAGAGACAAAATTTCAGCAGCAAATTGCACCACTTCAATGCCCAAAAAATAATGCATCTTTTCAAGATCAGACATGTCAAATACAACCATCATAGATTTCTTAAATTTCTCAAACATAGTACTATCATTTTTAATAAAAATAAGATCGTCAGCATATAAGCAAATAATAAGTAATTTACCTCTATCTCTAATCTTTATAAAAAGTGTATCTTTGGTATTGTTCATTTAAATGGGAAAGGTCTTTCGCTCTAAAAAACTCATTCCAACTTTTTGCTGAAATCTCATTCATCCAAAAACCTTAGGGAAAGCCTTTTCACATTTATCCTAGAATGTCTAAATAGTAGGATGTCAAGTTTATCCTTATAAATCTTTATATGGCATCATGATATCTTAGGTTATTTGTGCGCTCAATTAATATTTGAATGTAATTATTCATAATAATTAATTTTTCTTGTATTTAAAATAATTTTTCAATTTTATATTAGGAAACAAATGTTTTAAGATACCTTTTTCTTTGACTTTTGAACAAATGTGCAAGCTTTTTTTTTTAATCTTATCAAACTTGAACATAGATTAAAAATAAATTATAATTGTTTGACTTCATGTAATTTATATTTTACATTGCTAATTATATTGCTAATAAATTCAAAATTTTAACTTGAAAATCTATTTATTAGAATGAATTAAGTATTACAATTAAAGAATTTTGATATCAATCTTCATTTATTTTTGAAGTAAAAATATCAAAATACTAATATAGAATAAATAAAACAAAGAGTAATAAGACATATTGCGTCCTATAAACTAATTTAGGGCAATTAAGTCAAATTTATATTTGGTAAATTCTATTCTGACATCTAAATATTAAATATACCAAACAATGGAAACTTAATAAACATTCTATTCTGACTTGTCTACCAAAACCTAGAACAATAATTTTTTTTTCCTCATCATTCTTGGTGGAAATGCATTCTGGGCAGGAAGACCTTTCCATTATGGGCATTTCTGCGTACCAAATGAGGGGTTAACGTCTTTCTTTATCCCTATATTATAGACATAAGTGATTAAGACTGTGATAATTCATAGTAATTAAGACAACTAAAAATTGTGAAGTAACTTATAGTAGTCATCCATAAATTTCAAAATTGAAAACCTCATATTATTAACCCCATTAGATTTAGTCTAAGTTTATAGCAAACAGGATCAAATCTAGCTAGGTTCGTAAGTCAATCAAGCTACTGGGTGCTATTGGACTCTCCTATCCCAAGTGCTAGTTCAAGAGCTGAGACTTTTTCCTCGTACTTATAACTGAGCACTCTACCCGTTGAATTAACCAATGAAGGATACACCTAATATCAAGTTTAGAATCTTAGGGACGCATGTACTTGATTTCAAATATTTTATCTAAAATGTGCTTCAAACTTTTAAATGGGTTGACAAAAGAGAAAGAAGTCGTGCACAATGATCCTTCTAATTAAGACCAAGTTAATCAGTCGGACAATTCCCATCATGTTTCTTTCTATTTTTTAAGCATCTAAATAATTAATATTCTCACGCACATTGATTAGACATGTTACTATAATAATGGAAACCAGGACGAAAGTAACTTGGTCGCTGCCACAAATGGTTGTTTGATACCATACATATGTGTATATATATCTAAGTGGCTGAAACGTGAGGGCTCAAGAATTTCATAAGAAATAATAGCAACAAGCAAGATGCTAGGAAACGTGGAGGTGATATCAGAGGAGTTGATCAAACCATCATCTCCAACACCCCATATCTGTAGAGACCTAAAACTGTCCTTGCTAGATCAACTTATGCCCTCCATTTATGTTCCTCTTATCTTCTTCTATCAAAACAGGTCCTCATGCTCAAACAATATCGACCCAGCCAAAAGATCCCAGCATCTAAAACAGTCCTTGTCTGAGGTCCTAACAAAATTCTACCCATTCGCTGGAAGGACCAATCAAAATCTTTCTGTTGATTGTAATGACTCTGGAGCTCTATTTGTCGAATCTCGAGTTCATGCTCACCTCTTGAAAAAGGTTTCAGAGGAAGAAGAAGCTGTTTTTATTTAGCATCCGTCAAGGGATATATACATACAGCACAAACCTCCAATATCGCTCCTGATAGCTACTGATCTCATTTGAATACAAATACAGTTAAGGATAAAGCCTAACTAACAAATATTAGCTAGATATCTATTTACCAATTCAAACTGATATGCATTATCTAGATATCTATTTACCAATTCAAACGTATATACATTATCTCTAATACCCTCCCTCAAGTTGGAGCGTGAGGATCACGAACGCCCAATTTGCGAAGAAGAAACTCAAACTGAGCTTGACCCAAAGCTTTGGTTAGAATGTCTGCTAACTGGTCATGGCTTCGAACATAAACTGTTTTGATCATACCTTTCTGTATTTCATCACGAACAAAATGGCAATCGACTTCGATGTGTTTGGTGTGTTCATGAAAGACAGGATTTGCAGCTATATGTATTGCGGCTTGGCTATCACAAAATACTCCAGCAGATTGATCATGATGCACGCCCAGAGACAATAATAGACCTTTTAGCCATTTCAATTCACAAACCGTTGCAGCCAAAGAGCGATATTCTGCTTCATCAGATGAGCGAGAAACCGTATGTTGTTTCTTGGTCTTCCATGAAATCGGAGAGTTCCCAAGAAAAATGAAATAACCTGTAAGTGATCTCTGAGTTAATGGACAACCTCCCCAATCCGAATCGCAATAAGCCTTCAGTTCAAGATTGCAATCAGTTTGGAGTAAAATGCCTTGTCCTGGACTACCTTTCAAGTATCGGACGATGCGCAAGGCTGCCTCCCAATGCTCTTTCCGTGACTGTTGCATAAATTGTGCCAAAATATGCACACCATAAGACAACTCAGGCCGAGTTAAGTTCAAGTAAATCAATCGTCCCACCAGTCTTCGGTATTGTTCAGGGTCCTGCAGCAAATCACCCTTAGCTAAAGCGAGATGATGATTTTGCTCCATAGGAAACTTCGAAGGTTTAGCACCTAACAATCCTGCTTCATGAACGATATCTAAAGCATATTTTCGCTGACACAAGAAAATCCCTTCAGCATTTCGAGCTACTTCAACGCCCAAAAAATACTTCAAAACACCTAAATCTTTCATGTGAAAACACTGGCGCAAGTATGATTTGAATTCATTGATCAAATGCGTTTTGTTTCCAGCTATAATAAGGTCATCCACATACACTAACACAGCCAACTGTATCCCATCTCGCATCAAAGTAAACAGGGAATAATCAGACTGTGACTGAAGAAAACCATACCGTTTCAGAGCTTCAGCCAATTTTGCAAACCAACAACGTGGTGCTTGTAGTAAACCGTAAAGTGACTTCCTCAAGCGACACACCTTCCCGGGCTGGTTAGTGTGAAATCCAGGAGGTAGCTTCATGTAAACCTCTTCGGCTAAGTCTCCATGGAGAAAAGCATTATGAACATCCATTTGATGAAGTCCCCATCCTTTAGCTGCTGCCACAGAGAGAAATGTGCGGACCGTAACCATTTTTGCTACTGGTGCAAAGGTTTCGTTATAGTCGATCCCTTCAACTTGGTTGTTGCCAAGAATTACCAATCGTGCCTTGTATCGTTCAATGGTCCCATCAGAATTATACTTAATTTTGTACACCCATTTGCTTCCTATTGCTTCTTCCCTGGTGGTAAGTCAACGAGAGTCCATGTGCCATTTTGTTTGAGTGCATCAATCTCTTTTTGTATAGCTTCTCTCCATCGGACATCTTTAATTGCTTGATGATAAAATCTTGGCTCATTATTTATTGTGATGGCTGCCAAGAAAGCTTGATAACATGGTGAGAACTTTGTGTAATCAACATATTGAGCTAAGTCATAGGACATACCTGAGAATGATGATGGTTTGGCTGAACTTGCAGAGGGGTTTTCACTTTGAACTGCATAAGTCACACAATCCTTCAGCCTTATAGAAACTTTCTTGGAGCGAAGTCCACGTCCAAGTGTTGTCACACCTTTTACTGTCTCTACGTTCTCCATTCGATCAATTGCTGTACCTCCCTCCCTTACGTCGGCATTGTCATTCTGCACACAATCTAAATGCTCATGGGTTTCACGAACATGATCAGGCTGCTCCTTTGCCTTGTCTCTTGTCTGACCACTGACCTCTTCTTCAAGGTAATCATTTATTTGAGATGGTATTGAATTATGCTTACAAGTTTGAACATGATCAGGTGCGTGGTCAGCTGCAAATGGAAACTCATCTTCACAAAAGACAACATCCCGAGACACAAAATACTTTCTTGTTTCTAAATTATACAACCACCAACCTTTCTGTCCAAACGGATAACCCACAAAGATACATTTACGGCTTCAAGGAGAAAATTTATCCTTCTCACGATTCAAGTTCTTTGCATAACACAAGCAACCAAATGTACGAATTGACCGATAATTAGGCAAGTGACCATACAACATTTCATAAGGTGTTTTTCCTCCTAGTAATTGAGAAGGGGTACGATTAATCAAATAGCCAGCAGTTAACACACATTCTCCCCAAAATCTGATTGGTAAGTTGGCCTGAAATTGCAAGGCTCTAGCCATATTCAGTATATGCCGATACTTTCTTTCCACTCGTCCATTCTGTTGGGGCGTTCCCACACATGAAGTTTGATGTATTATCCTTTTGTCAGAAAAATATCCCTTCAAACTGATGAACTCACTGCCATTATCACTTCTAACTATCTTAACATTCTTATCAAATTGTCGATGAACCATAGAAACAAAATTTGGCAAAATATTTCCAACTTCAGTTTTATCTATCATCAAATATATCCACACACATCTCGAAAAATCATCAACAATCGTAAGAAAATAAGATACATTACAAGAACTAGAGACTCGATATGGTCCCCACAAGTCACAATGAATCAATCCAAATGTTTCATTAGCTCTACTATCACTAGAACAAAATACTTCTCTCGTTTGCTTAGTTTTAAAACAAGTATCACAAGTTTTATTTGAACCTAATTGAATCTTAATTCCAGAAATTAAACCTACGACCTTTGAAGACGGGTGCCCCATTCTGCGATGCCAAAGATCACACGAATCCAACATCTGAGTTTGAAGTGCTTGGACTGGCGTCTCCTTCTTGAAGTAATAAAGCCCTTTGCATCGTTCACCCGCTTCAATCACCATCCTCGAAGTGCGGTCCTGTATCAAACAAAGCTTATCAGTAAACAACACATTACATTTTGAGTCATCAACCAGTTGTGATACTGAGATTAAATTGCAATGTAATCCTGGAGCATGAAGAACATTGTCTAATTGAATATTTTGTCCCATCCGAATCGATTCTTTTTGCAATGCCAGCACCTGTTCTCCATTAGGCAAGCCAATAGGACAACCTAATATCTAATTCAAGCTAGATAGACAGCTCGAATTTCCTGTCATATGCTGTGTAACGCCAGAATCAATTATCCAGATAAAGTTTTCCTTACCAGTCATCTTCTCATTACTCCCTGATTCTGAGTTGCAAGCATTCAATAGACTCATAACTGCTGCCCATTGTTCATTTGTCAGTCCTTTAGGAGTAGCAAAATCCTCTGTTGCAGTAGTGGATTCTTCAATTACTTGAGCTGCATTAACTCGTGCCCCATTTCGTCCTCTTCCTGACATCTTGCCACGTCCTCTTCCTCCAATCTGTCTTCCTCGACCCGAACCAGACATTTTAGGTCGATCACTCCACCAATCGGGATATCCAATCAGCTGAAAACATCCCTCAGCATCATGCCCTTCGCGATTGCAATATTTACAAATGGCACTTCTATTCTTGATTCCTGCTTTGGCCTGAACCACAAAGCTAGCCGCTTCGTTGTTGATCTCTTTTTCCTTGGAAATATTTCGAACCCTTTCTTCTTGGCACATCAAGGAATACGCCTTGCTTACACTAGGCAATGGAGTGGTGCTCAAAATGTTTGATCTCACTGTTCTATATGCGTCGTCTAACCCCATCAGAAATTGATGAAGTTTTTCTTCTTCTCGTTTCTTTGTTATTTCAGTTGCTACATTACACGTACAACCCCCACACTTGCACGTAGAGATCGCATCATAATTCGCCAGTTCTTCCCACAATCGCTTCAATTTAGCATAGTAACTCATAAGGGAGAGTCCTTGCTGTTTGCAATTTGCCAATTCTGTCTTCAGTTGCTGCACTCGTGCACCATCAGTCACTGAGAAACATTCTTTAATGTCTTCTCACAAATTCTTTGCAATCTCCCTGTGTGTCAAAGTAGATCGCACCGTCGGCTCAATTGTGTTCATCATCCACGATATGAGCGTGGAATTCACTGTCCACCAGTCTTCTAATTCATCGGAATCTTCATCCGGCTGTGCTATGGTTCCATCAATGAATCCAAAATTCTTCTTGGCTCTGAGAGCAGTCCGGATTGCTCTAGCCCATTCATCATAATTATCCTCTTTTAATTATACCTGGGTGATTATATTTCCAGGATTATCATTGGCATACAAGGTGTATGGCGACACTATTTTCTTTCCATCTCCTTCCATGTTTTTTTTCAGTTGACAGAGATTGCAGAGGATGCTCTGATACCATGAAAAAGGTTTCAGAGGAAGAAGAAGTTGTTTTTATTTAGCATCCATCACGGGATATATACATACAACACAAACCTCCAATATCGCTCCTGATAGCTACTGATCTCATTTGAATACAAATACAGCTAAGGATAAAGCCTAACTAACAAATATTAGCTAGATATCTATTTACCAATTCAAACTGATATGCATTATCTAGATATCTATTTACCAATTCAAACGTATATACATTATCTCTAATACCTCTCACAAGCATTAATCCAGAGCACTACCATAGAGGAACCAAACCAATATCTCCCCTTTGAACCTTTTTATGCTTCTAGCAAGAATAGCTTGATGTTAGGTATCCAAATCAGTTTCTTTGAATGCGGAGGAATGGCTGTTGGGGCATGCAGCTCACACAAGTTAGCTGATGCTATGTCCTTTGTGACATTCATGAATGCATGGGCTGCTACATGTCGCGGTCAAGCTGATGAAGTTGTGCAACCTGATTTTGAATTAGCCGGGCGTCTTTTTCCTCCAGCAAACATTCCTTTAACTACTCATGATTTCATGTCACTAGAAGAGAAAGAAAGTCTAGTCACTAAAAGGTTTGTGTTCGACAAGGAAAAGTTAGATGCACTTAAACAACTTGCTTCCTCTGCAGCCTCGGGAAGTTCAGTAAAGGACCCAACTCGGATTGAAGCAGTTTCAGCTCTTATGTGGAAGAATTTAAGCAGCACCACCCAAGCTAAGGTTGATCACAAAACAAATTTTCTGGCATACCATGGCGTGAACTTAAGACCGAAAATGAGCTTGCCCGGTGACCGATTAGTCTTTGGCAACTTGGCAATTGCTACAACAGCTTTATTAACAATGTCTGATCAGGATGATCATGATAAAGAATACTGTTATGATCTAGTAGGGCTCTTGAGGACCGCAATCAGAAAAATCAATGGTGAGTATATCAAGCATGTTCAAAGTGGAGTGCCTTATTTGAATACTTTAGAGAATAATATAAAGGAACGACTTGCTAAGCAGCCAATGATATCTTGTAAGTTTACCAGTTGGTGGTGCAGATTTCCGGTATATGAAGTGGACTATGGGTGGGGCAAACCTATTTGGGTGGGCACTAAAGTTCCCCGTATGAAGAATTGTGTAATTTTCTTGGATTCAAGTTGTGGTGATGGAATTGAAGCATCGGCTAACGTGGTGGAGGACGAAATGGCTATGATCCCAGACGAGCTTCTTTCACTCGCAACGGCTGATAGTACAGCCAGAGTCCATAATCAGTGATCCCAATGCCAGGATTGATGATAAATCTGCTTCAAGAATTTAAACAAATATTTATCATTTCAAGCATTTAAGGTTTTTATTTTATTAATTAAGTGACACTGAATTTTCTATTCAAAACTTGCTCACAAAATTAAGCGATAAGTTATTCACTTATCACTGATAATATCCTTATTGCTTATGAAATCAATCATTCCCTTAAGCTGAAGTCCTAGGGGCAGGAGGGATCGATGTCCATTAAGTTGGACATGAGCAAAGCATTTGATAAGGTCGAGTGGCTTTTTCTTCGACATATGATGATTGCTTTAGGTTTCCATTCCACTTTTGTGGACATTGTTTTTTGCTGCATTTCTATTGTGTCTTACACTTTCCTACTTAATGGGTCCTAACTTGGGAACCTACAACCCCATCGCGGTATCAGACAGGGGGATCCATTATCACCCTACTTGTTTTTGATCTGTGTCGAAGGCTTTTCTTGTTTATTGCAGGAAGCTGAACGTTGCGGAAGCATCTCAGGTTTTCGGATCGGCTCACGCGGACCCAAACTATCTCACCTATTATTTGCCGATGACACCTTGTTGTTCGGCAAGGCATCGCTGCAGGAAGCTCAGCACATAAAGACAATCCTTGACCTTTACAAAGCAGCTTCAGGCCAGGAGGTTAACTTTGATAAATCAGCAGTGGTCTTCAGCAAAAACACAGACCCCACAGTTCGTCGAAGTATCACCCAGCTTCTTAACATCAAGGAAATTCCTACTCACGACAAATATCTTGGCCTTCCTACTGTTGTTGGTCGTTCCAAGGCTGAAGTTTTTTCATCTGTAAAGGAGAGAATCTGGCAGAAGATACATGGATGGAATGAACAGCGCCTCTCAACGGCAGGTAAGGAAATCATGATCAAGGTTGTTGTCCAGGCCATCCCAACATACTCAATGTCCTGTTTCAAGTACCCGGACTCCTTGCTTTCCGATATTCAATCTATGATCAGTAACTTTTGGTGGGGTGATGGCACAAAGCAAAGACCAATCCACTGGGTGAGTTGGGATAGAATGTGCTCATCCAAAAGTGATGGGGGCATGGGCTTCAGACAACTTAAGGCTTTCAATTTAGCTTTATTAGCTAAACAGGCATGGCACATTGCAACTCAACCATCTACACTGCTTCATCAGGTTTTTAAGGCTAAATATTTTCCAACGAAGGACTTTTTTCATGACGAGCCTACTTCCAGGCCTTCTTTTACTTGGAGGGGCTGTGTGCTGTTCGCAGATATTTACTCTCTGGTAGCAGATGGCGAGTTGGAAATAGGAACCATATCAGAATCTGGAAGGATAGGTGGATTCCACGCCCTTCTACTTTCAAAATTATATCCCGTTCTGATGTGCTGCCGGATGATTCCATTGTGGATTGTTTAATTGACGGAAATAGCAGGAAATGGAAAGTTGAGTTGCTTCAGGAGCTTTTTTGGCAGGATGAGATTGATTTGATTATGGGTATTCCATTGGGTGATAGTCGCAATCAAGATAAGCTCATATGGCACTACTCTAAAAATGGCTCATTCGCAGTGAAAAGTGCCTACCATCTCATCAAAGCACAATCTACAGGCTGGCAAGATGTAGCTTCAGGGAGTAATGGATCGGTGCAGGATATTTGGCCTCGCCTGTGGAAACTCAACATACCTAACAAAGTTAAGATATTCTTGTGGCGTATCTGCAAGGGTATTCTACCTACATCTTCCACGCTGAATAGCCGTGGAGTCTACCTTGACCCTATGTGCCTGTTATGTAAGGCCCCTGTTGAAGAAGTAGATCACCTCTTCTTGTACTGTCCGGTAGTAGTTCAGGCTTGGGCCCTCAGCTTTCTTACACTAAAGATAAGGTTAGACTCCGCTAAGTAGGTCTCTTCTTGGTTGCCTAGCCTTCTAAATCTCTTGAAGAAGCAGGACATGGAACTGGTAGCCATAATTCTTTGGAATCTATGGCTTAACCGAAATGGTGCTTTATTCGATGGTTCATATCGGGATCCGCTCAGTCTAGTCTCTCTCTCTATCAGTTTCTTACAGAAGTACCGGGAAGCCAACACATCTCCAAATACCCCAATCAGCACTTCCACTGCTCTACTCCACTAGACAAAGCCCCCTGTGGGCTTCCTAAAGGCGAACTTCGATGGCCCAGTTTTCTCCGAATATGGCTACTCTGGTGTTGGAGTTGTTGTGAGGGACGAGCGGGGCAATTTTGTTGCAGGAACTTCTCACAAAATCTCTGGTATCTTTTCTCCTGAGGTCATCGAAGCCTATGCTGCGAGAACTGTAATTTCCTTGCTGCTTCAATGGAAAGTGCCCAACATTATTTTGGAGGGAGACTCTTTGAAGATCGTCAGCATGCTTAAGATTATGGAGTCTGGTGACTCCGCCTATGGGGTGCTGTTAGATGATATCTTTGTTAGGTTACAGAACTTCGCCGCTTGGGAGGCTAACTGGGTCCCTAGGAAGGCCAATGTGCCAGCACATTTATTAGCTAGAAATGCTCGCTCTATTTCAGATATCTGTAGTTGGAGTTATTCTCCACTATCTTTTCTTCTCTCCGCAATTTCGGCGGACCTATCCTCACCTTAATGAAATTTTCTAATTTGCTATCAAAAAAAAAATCACTGAATGTGATACGTACTCAAATGTATTAGATTTAATATTTAACAATTCAATAATTTAATGAATTCAACCTTCATATTTCAATTTTCATACTAAATTTCAATTTTATCAAACGCACGCTTAATGTAGTTGAATGGATTAGTTGTCTCTCTTGTAACAACTGGAAAGAAACCTTGGACTATAAGCCTCCGGCGAGAGTCCGGAGATTGCGTAACCGGAGGTCGCGTAAATACAGTCAAACTAAAATCCGGTTTCAATCCCAACTTGGCAAGATAATCAGCATAATGTAATTCCAAATTTTTCTCAACCACTAGTCAAACATAAGGGGACAATTTCAAAGTCATGAGATTTCCGACAATTTCACTTTTCTCCCTTCGACTTCTAAAAATCTCACCACCTCTCTTTACAGGGAATTAGGACCCATCGCTGATACAACGCGTGGCAAAATTACCTTAAGGTTTGGTGATGTTAACTAAACAATTCCCAAAAAAAAAAAAAAACTATTGGACTATATTTGAAGAAAAAAAATAAAATACTGGCCAATTGGTTTTAACAAATTGGTGCAAATTTCTCCTCCAAATCCAAATGGCACACTTTTCTAATAGTGGTTATTTACTATTAAAGAAAATAAGTGTCATATATCATTTAACTTTGCTAATTGGTTAGTCTGATATTTAAACTTTGCTAATACATTTGCTACATATTTTTGAAATGTACCTCTAGCCTTCGCTTTTTGTTTGGCAAGTTTTAATTCATTTAATAGTTTCTCAAAACAAATAGTTGTAACAGTTAGTAAAGGCATTTTTGCCCCCACATTACATTCTCTCTCCAACAATTATTTTTTAATTCAAACATTTCTTTTTGTTTTGGGCTTGTTACATAAAAGTTCCAAATAAGGGAGTTAAGTGAAATTTTTAAAAGTTCAAAGGGGCATAGTGAAATTGTTAGAAACCTTAGGTGAGGTTTCCGAAATTTTGCGAAACACAAATGCATTCATCTTTAATCATTGTATATAACATAATCATGCACAACTTGCACTTATACAATAGAATTACTACTAAAATTTTACTCATAAAAAACTAATCATGTTTTTCTTTGCATAAATCAGAAAAATTATATGGTGATTATGGCAAGAAAAACTAATTATATGAATAATTGTTTGAAAATTACAAATATGGTAAGATTAATTCAGACATCTTCTATTGTAGAATTTGAATTTTGGACTATTTATCATTATTTAATTTTATGTCATTATGGGTTTTATCCTTCTTTCAATCTCATGATGTCATATTGTTATTAGAGAACTTAATTTTTTGGACTTGGTTTTGACCAAAAATAAATGACAAAATGACTGGCGTAAGGCGGTAATTCTTCCTAGGAAATGATGAAGCATTCTCAATTCTCAAGCTGCCTCTCCTCTAGTGCTGTCTCTTTCTCTCCTCTCGCCAGTTTGGAGCTTCACACTAATTTTTACTTCGCTTGATTGATGTGGTTTTAGACGACAAATTAAGAAGAAAAATTGGAATTGGTAGGTTTTTGTTTTTTTTTCTGTGATTTTTATTTTTTTCTTGTGTAAATAGGACATGGAAAACAATTCTTTGCCTTTTCTTTTACCATTTTTATTGCCGTTGCTCCTCTGAACGCTGCTCACAGCCAGCGGCATTAAATTTTTGTTTTTTTTTTTAACAATTAAAACATGTATATCACTTGTGCATCGGCTTTTATCCTTTTTTTGGTCTTCGTTTTTGGGTTTTATGGACTTTTTCTATACTTTTTTTTTCAGATCAATCTCCTGCGTCTTCTAATTTATTGATAAGTTATTGGCATTCATCTCTTCAGGCACTTGTCGTACCAATACACTTAAAATTAGTGAATTGGGTTTTATGCAATTCTTGATTATATAATTGAATGCAATGCATTAGCTCTTGCTAACATTCCCCCCCCCCCTTCCCTCCATCTTCACAGCGATTAGCTTCAATTTAATTTGCGACTTCTTACTTTTTAAATTCAAAGGTATGAAAATATATATAACAATTTAAAATTTTGAAATTTTATATATAAAAAAAATGAAGAGTTGGAAGCATTCTAACTTAGATACATTAAAAACCCCTTCTCAAATTTATATAAAAGGAAAATTTTGGTAACCTCTCTTGAGATTTCTGACAATTTCACTCACCTCCCTTCAAATTTGAATAATTACACTAACCTCTCTTATACAGTAAAATGACTATAATATCCTTCACTTATAAATAGTTCTTACAAACAATTGTTGGAACTAGTCTTTCATTTTAAAGTAATAGTTGTCAGAAAAAATAAACTCTTTGTTCCTGCCTCTCTTTCCTACCTTCTTTCTCCTTCCTTTCATAATCTCCTCTTTGTTTCGCAACAGTCATCTACACTATA